GGGTTCAGGCAATTCTCCTGCCTCAGCCTCCTGAGTAGCTGGGATTACAGGCATGTGCCACCATGCCCAGCTAATTTTTTGTATTTTTAGTAGAGACGGGGTTTCACCATGTTGACCAGGATGGTCTCGATCTCTCGACCTCGTGATCCACCCGCCTCGGCCTCCCAAAGTGCTGGGATTACAGGCTTGAGCCACCGCGCCCGGCATGTTGCCCCTTCTTAGCTGTGTTCTTCTCACACAAAAAGATGACCTATGACTATTGCCTTCCTTCTCTTTCAACCTTTGCCAAAAGGCCTCCCTACTGCTGTTCTGGGTCACCAGAAACCTGGCCTGGCAAGATCCAAAGACCTTTGTATTCATTCCCTTAAATTTTTTTGAATAAGCTTTGATCAGCCGCCTTTGTGAAAGGTGTGTGTGCTCAGCATTCCTATGGCTCAGCAGCATACAGTCACCCTTCCACCCCTGAAGCTCCTTCTTCCCTTGTTCTAACTAGGCCACCCTCCCTTCTCGTCACATCTAAATCCTACCCCTCCTTGAGTGCCAGCTTCTTTCATATCTTGCCTGACATCTGACATCAGTTTATTTCATTCAGCAAACACTGACTACTGAGCATCTGCCCTTTGCCAAGGAGCTTACAGGTCTGTAGGGGAGAGACTGGAAGCCAGCATTCTTGCGTGTGAGAGACAGCAGTACTACAGTGAAATGACAAGACCAGTATGCATAGTATTCTATAAGTGTTCCGCATTCTAAACATTTAAAAGATTTCTGAATCTGGAAACCATCATTCTCAGCAAACTGACACAAGAGCAGAAAATCAAACACCGTATATTCTCACTCATAGGCGGGTGTTGAACAATGAGAACACATGGACACAGGGAGGGGAGCACTACACACTGGGGTCCATTGGGGGGAAATGGGGGAGGGATGGGGGGGTGGGGAGGTGGGAAGAGATAGCATGGGGAGAAATGACAGATACAGGTGAGGGGATACAGGTGAGGGGACGGAAGACAGCAAACCACATTGCCGTGTGTGTACCTATGCAACAATCTTGCATGTTACTCACATGTACCCCAAAACCTAAAATGCAATTAAAAAAAAGATTTCAAATACATATATAAACACATTCTAGAATGTCACTGTGGCTGCTGCTTCCTTTAACTTCAGTCTCATCTGCTCCTGGGAGTGAGAGCTCCATCTTCTCTGGCGTAGCTGGCTCCGTTGAGCTTTAGTGCCATCCTGCTCCACTGAGTGGGGTTTTCAGGACCACTGCCTCTGGGCAGCTCTTCCACTCTGGCTGGGGAGCTTATGTTGTAGAAATTTTGATTTCTCTCCCTGCCAACCTGGAATAGAGAGTTTGTTCGAATTTTCCCATTTCCCCATGTGAGGCCTGTGGTAACAGTGCCCATTTTGAGGAGGTGGGGGCTGGAAGGGAAGGGGAAGTGGAGGGAGATTGGAAAGGAAATACGTAAGTGTGAATAGAACTGCTAACCTGTGTCTGAAATAAGAGTATTATAACAACCAGATACTTGCCCTTGTACTTGAAAATGGCATGACATACCAGAATACCAAAATGTGCCATCACTCAACAGTGTGGTAAATGAGAGGTTACATCTCCATCCCAGTGTGAGGGTGGCAAGATGGATGGGGTAGATGATTGTGTGGGAAGGAAGACCCCGTGGTGGTGGTGTTTGAGCTGAGTCTTGCAGGATGAGGTCGAGTTGTGGGAGGGGACGGCATGTGCCACCATGACTAGAAGGTGCGTGTATTAGTCGTTTTTCATGCTGCTGACAAATACATACTGGAGACTGGGCAATTTCCAAAAGAAGTTTATAATGGACCTACAGTTCCATGTGGCTGGGAAAGCCTCACAAGCACGGTGGAAGGTGAAGGGCACGTCTCACATGGCAGCAGACAAGAGAAGAGAACTTAGCCAGGGAAATTCCCCTCCTTAAAACCATCAGATCGTGGTCGGACGTGGTGGCTCACACCTGTAATCCCAGCACTTTGGGAGACCTAGGTGGGCAAATCACCAGAGGTCAGGAGTTTGAGACCAGCCTGGCCAACCTGGTGAAACCTGCCTGGCCAACCTGGTGAAACCGTGTCTCTACCTAAAATACAAAAATCAGCCAGGTGTGGTGGTGTGCGCCTGTAGTCTCAGCTACTCGGGAAGCTAAGGTGAGAGAATCACTTGAACCCAATAGACAGAGGTTGCAATGAGCCAAGATTGTGCCACTGCACTCCGGCCTGGGCAACAGAGTGAGACCCAGTCTCAAAAATAAAAAACAAAAATCAAAAAATGAAATCATCAGATTGCATGAGACTCATTCACTGTCATGAGAATAGCACAGGAAAGACCTGCCCCCATAATTCAGTCACTTCCCACTGAGGGAGGTAGGAATTGTGGGAGTTACAATTCAAGATGAGACTTGGGTGAGGAGACAGCCAAACCATATCACTCCACACCTGGCCTCTCCAAAATCTCATGTCCTCACATTCCAAAACCAATCATGCCTTCCCAACAGTTCCCCAAAGTCTTTACTCATTTCAGCATTAACCCAAAAGTCCACAGTCCAAAGTCTCATCTGAGACAAGGCAAGTCCCTTCTACTTATTTACTTAGGAGCTTGTAAAATCAAAAGCAGGTTAGTTACTTCCTAGATACAGTGGGGGCACAGGCATTAGGTAAATAGAACCGTTCGAAATGGGAGAAATTGGCCAAAACAAAGGGGCTACCGGCCCTATGCATGTCCAGAATCCAGTGGGACAGTCAAATCTTCAAGCTTGAAAATGATTTCCTTTGATTCCAGATCTCACATCCAGGTCACAGTAATGTAAAAGGTGGGTTCCCATTGTCTGGGGCAGCTCCACCCCTGTGGCTTTGCAGGGTACAGCCTCCCTCCTGGCTGCTTTCATGGGCCGGCATTGAGTGTCTGCAGCTTTTCCAGGCACATGGTGGAAGCTGTCAGTGGATCTACCATTCTGGGGTCTGGAGCATGGTGGCCCTCTTCTCACAGCTCCACCAGGCAGTGCCCCAGTAAGGACTCTGTGTGGGGGCTCCAACCCCACATTTCCCTTCTGCACTGCCCTAGCAGAGGTTCTGCATGAGAGCCCTGCTCCTGCAACAAACTTCTGCCTGGATATCCAGGTGTTTCCATACATCCTCTGAAATCTAGGCAGAGGTTCTCAAACCCTAATTCTTGACTTCTGTGCACCTGCAGGCTCAATACCATGTGGAAGCTGCCAAGGCTTGTGGCTTGCACCCTCCGAAGCTACAGCCCAAGCTCTACATTGGCCTCTTTCAGCCATGGCTAAAGCAGCTGGGATGCAGGACACCAAGTCTCTAGGCTGCACACAGCACGGGACCCTGGACCTGGCCCACAAAACCCCTTTTTCCTCCTAGGCTTTTAGGCCTGTGTTGGGAGGGGCTACCTTCAAGACCTCTGACATTCCCTGGAGACATTTCCTCAGTGTCTTGGGGATTAACATTCAGCTCCTTCTTACTCATGCAAATTTCTGCAGCTGGCTTAAATTTCACCAAAAAAAAAATGGGATTTTCTTTTCTATCACGTTGTCAGGCTGCAAATTTTCTGACCTTTTATGCTCTGCTTTCCTTATAAAATGGAGTGCTTTTAACAGCACTCAGGTCACCTCTTGAATGCTTTAGAAATTTCCTCCACTAGGTACCCTAAATCATGTCTCTCAAGTTCAAAGTTCCACAGATCTCTAGGGCAGGGGCAAAATGCCGCCAGTCTCTTTGCGAAAACATAGCAAGAGTCACCTTCGCTCCACTTTCCAACAACTTCCTTATCTCCATCTGAGACCACCTCAACCTGGACCTTATTGTCTATATCACTATCAGGCTTTTGGTCAAAGCCATTCAACAAATCTCTAGAAAGTTCCAAACTTTCCCACATTTTTTTTTTGTCTTCTTCTGAGGCCTCCAAACTGTGCCAACCTCTGCCTGTTACCCAGTTCCAAAGTCGCTTCCACATTTTCGGCTATCTTTTCAGCAGCACCCCACTCTACTGGTGCCTGTTTACTGTACTAGTCTGTTTGCATGCTACTGATGAAGACATGCCCAAGACTGGGCAATTTATAAAAGAAGTTTATAATGGACTTACAGTTTCATGTGGCTGGGGAAGCCTCATAATCATGGCAGAAGGTGAAAGGTATGTCTCACATGATGACAGATAAAAGAAGAGAGCTTGGGCAGGGAAACTCCCCTCTTAATTTTATTTTTTATTTTTTATTTTTATTTTTTGAGATGGAGTCTTGCTCTCTCTCCCAGGTTGGAGTGCAGTGGCATGATCTCAGCTCACTGAAATCTCCATTTCCCGGGTTCAAGTGATTCTCCCTGCCTCAGCTTCGCACGTAGCTGGGATTACAAGCATGTGCCACCATGCTAAGCTAATTTTTGTATTTTTAGTAGAGACGGGGTTTCCCTGTGTTGGCCAGGTTGGTCTTGAACTCCTGACCTCAGGTGATCTACCCACCTTAGCCTCCCAAAGTACTGGGATTACAGGCATGAACCATGACGCCCAGCCCAGCTTGCCTCTTTGAAACCATCAGCTCTCATCAGACTTATTTACTATCACAAGAAGAGCACGAAAAAGACCCACCGCCATAATTCAGTCACCTCCCATGACACATGGGAATCGTGGGAGTTATAATTCAAGATGAGATTTGGGTGGGGACACAGCCAAACCATTTCAGCATGATAAGGATGATGAACCCCAGTGCCTTAGGGGAAGCAAATATTGATGAGTCTTTTGCGTAAGTCTTTGATAATTTCTGGACTATGCTGAATAGTCCTTGTCTCAGGAAGGTGTCTTGTTGACAGTTTCATAGGTGCAAGTCTTGTCTTCTGTATTAAAGTATAAGGTTTGAAACTTGAGGCCTTTTGTCCTTTTAAAGTTTCTTGCTGGGCTTTGCACTGAGGATACTCCAGGCATACTGATTGACATGCAGCTTGATCACTCGATTCCTTTTTTTTCCCTACAGCCTTGTGCAAGCCGAATACTGGCATGACCCCATAAAGGAGGATGTGTATCGTAATCACAGCATCTTCTTGGCAGATATAAATCAGGAGCGGGTAAGCCCCCAAACCCAGCTCCCATAGTTGTGCCTTCTTTCTTTCTGTTTAGGTCTTCATAAACAAATCAGTGGTGTTTACCCGGATTGTCCTGGGCAGACCCTAGGAAACAAAAGTTCTGTTTTTTGGGAGCCAGTGCCTTTGAGATTCAGTTCCTTTCAGGGAGGTGGAAATTCATTTGCCTTTCCTCCCTTAACTTCTCTCCCTCTCCTAGTGTTGAAACACGCAAGGTAAGCTTAGCAGGTTGCCGACTGGGCTAGGTGGAAATTCACAGCTGCTGTCTTCATGAGGGAAGGTTTCCTGATGGATCAGTTTGGGGACAGATTTTCTCAAGAGATTTACCTAGAAGAGAGACTACAGGAGGCCCTGAGTATGTCCTAGACACAAGCATGGTTTGGGAGGTTCTGATAAACTAGATGGCTCAGTTTATATTAAGACTCATCTGGAGAGTCTTTTGGTTTTTTTGTTTTTAAACAGAAAGTTTGAAGGGAAAAACAAACCAAACAAAAGACAACACAGAATAGTAGAGCAGAACTACTCAGAATTTGCAGTTTCTTATTTTGTCATGGCTTTCTCTGATAGAAGCCTCTCACCCATGTGATGGACACCTATGGAGTATGGTGTAGATTCCTAGTTGTACCTGTATGCCGTGATGGTGGCACGTCAGTCAGGTAGGATGGTAAGAAAAGACTGCATAAGGCCAGACACGGTGGCTCACACCTGTAATCCCAGCACTTTGGGAGGCCAAGGCAGACAGGTCACCTGAGGTTAAGAGTTTGAGACCAGCCTGGCCAACGTAGTGAAATCCTGTCTTTACTAAAACTAATTTTACTAAAACTACAAAATTAGCTAGGTATAGTGGTGGCTGCCTGTAATCCCAGCTACTTGGGTTTGAACCCAGGAGATGGAGGTTGCAGTGAGCCAAGATCACACCACTGCACTCCAGCCTGGGTGCAGACTCCGTCTCAAAAAAATAATAAAATAAAAAGCTGTATAAGCAATCCCATGACTGGGTATATACCCAAGGGAAAACAAATTGTCCTACTAAAAAGACACTTGCACTCGTGTTTATTGCAGCACTGTTCACAATAGCAAAGACATGGAATCAACCTAGGTGCCCATCAGTGGTGGACTGGATAAAGAAAATATGGTACATACACACCATGGAATATTACACAGTCATAAAAAAGAATGAAATCATGTTCTTTGTGGCAACATGGATGTAGCTGGAGGCCATTATCCTAAGCAAATGAACACATAAACAGATCAAATACCACGCTTGCACTTACAAGGGAGAGCTAAACATTGGGTATACATGGATATAAAGATGGGAACAGTAGACATTGGAGACTCCAAAAGCTGGGAGGGAGGGGCCAGGGCTGAAAAACTTCCTGTTGGTCACTGTGTTCACTATTTGGGTGGAAGGATCAACAGAACCCTGAACCTCAGCATCACATAATATACGCTTGTAACAAACTGCACGTGTACCCCCTCAATCTAAAATAAAGTTTGTTTTTCTTTTTTTTTCTTTTCTTTTTTTTTTTTAAAGCTGTGCAGTTATATCCTGGACAGGAAGCTGCAAAACAGCCTATACCCATGGGGAAGAAACATGGTGGCCTAGACTAGAGAACTGGAAGGCTTTAATACCTCTGCTGGTATCTGGTGGTAATGACCTGAGGTGTTGCTGGCCTTTCTTTCAGGGTATCAACGAGTCCTACAAGAAAAACATGATGGCCCTGAAGAAGTTTGTGATGGTGAAATTCCTGAATGATTCCATTGTGGACCCTGTAGATTCAGAGGTGAGACACTACTTAGGCCACATGCCGGGATAGTAAATGGCATTAAAATATACCTGCCGGCCGGGCACATTGGCTCTTACCTATAATCCCAGCACTCCTGGAGGCTGAGGCAGGTGGATCACCTGAGGTCAGGAGTTTAAGACCAGCCTGGCCAACTTAGTGAAATCCCAGCTCTACTCAAAATACACACACAAAAAATGGGCTGGGCATAGTGGTGGCTGCCTGTAATTCCAGCTCCACAGGAGGCTGAAGTGGGAGAATCTCTTGAACCCAGGAGGCAGAGGTTTCAGTAGGCCAAGATCATGCCACTGCACTCCAGGGTGACAGAGCAAGACTCTGTCTCAAAAATAAAATAAAACGAAATTGAAATGAAATGAAATAATGAAATGAAACAAATAAATGAAATGAAATGAAAAAATACAGCTGCCTGCTGGGGAAAGAACCTTCAGTCCCTTCTACCAACTTTTGTGTAGAACAAGGGTTCTTCACCTAAGGTCCGTAAATGGAACACTGAAGGTTGTAATCTCCTACCCCCAACCCCAAAATTCTTTGCAAAATTATGTAATTGCATTCTCTGGAGAAGGGTCTATAATTTTAATCTATTTTCCAGAGATCAGAGACCCCAAAAAAGGTTCAGAATCACTAGCCCAAAACATGAATTCCTAAGCTTGGCCTCCAAGGTCTGCCTTAATCTGGCTTTGCCCTGTTTTTCAGCCTTGTCTGCATGCTTCATGTACTCTTGATCAAGCCACGTTGTACTACTCGTGCTTTTTCTCTAGTATGCCTTTGTTCATGCCTTTCTGTCTCTAGAATGCCCTTCCTTGGCTTCTCCACCTGACAATTCCTGTTCATCTGTCAAGGCCAGGATGCCATCCCATTCCAAAAAGAATGGGATCCCTTTTGTTTTTTGTCTGTTTTTTGAGAGAGTCTCGCTCTGTCACCTAGGCTGGAGTGCAGTGGCATGATCTCAGCTCACTGTAACCTTCTCCTCCCGGATTCAAGCAATTCTCCTGCCTCAGCCTCCCAGGTAGCTGGGATTACAGGTGCCTGCCACCATACCTGGCTAATTTTTGTATTTTTAGTAGAGACAGGGTTTCACCACGTTGTCCAGGCTGGTTTTGAACGCCTGACCTCATGATTTCAAAGTGCTGGGATTACAGGCATGAGCCACCACAACCGGCCAGAATGTAATCCCTTTTGTAGAATCATTGGCCTCTGTTGGAACCCTCATCACATTATGTCACACCACCAGGGGTTGGCCCACTGTAGCCCACAGGCCAAGTCCATCCTGCTACCTGTTTCGATGTGGCCCACAAGTGAAGAACAGTTTTTACGTTTTTTAATGGTTGGGGAAGAAAACTTGACATATAAAGATAATGTAAAATTTATTTTGACATAGAAAGATTATGTAAAATGTAAATTTCGGTGTCCTCATTGGAACACAGTTTTAGTTACTTTTAACATATTGTCTGTGGCTGCTTTTGTTACAGTGGCAGCAGTGAGTAGTTGCAACCATATGGCCCTTAAAGCCTAAAATATTTTCTATCTGGCCTTTACAGAAACGTGTGCTGACCTCTGTGCCCAACAGTGAATTGTTTCTGCGCCTTGTTAGACTGGAAGCTTTTTGGAAACGGATTATATATTCATCCTTGAATGTCTAGAGCTCAGCACAGGAGTTTTTCACATTTACTGCTTAATAAATGTGGGAAGGAGAAATTCTGGGGGAGTGGAAAGCAGCCCCTCGGAAAGATTAATTCATCAGATGACTCAGACATACCCTATCCATTTTTCCTTCTTGCTACAGCTTTATGAGGTTCACTTTGTTGGCAGTCTTAGTTTCTAACCAGTCTCAAATTATCTTGGCAGTATGTGCTGTGTGTCTGATCTCATCTTATTTCTTTTGTCTCTCCTGCAGTGGTTTGGATTTTACAGAAGTGGCCAAGCCAAGGAAACCATTCCCTTACAGGAGACCTCCTTGTACACACAGGTAACTGGCAGGGAGAAGGCTGTTTTGGGAGGTTGGTGCTGTCTTTTTCAGCTCCCAGTTCCTGAAGCTGCTAGGTTCTGTGGTGTTTGAGCCCTGCCCTGTACACCTCAGAGCACTAGGTACTCCTGAAACACCTGACTCATGTCCAGTATGGGTGAAGCTTGTTAGGCTCTTGATTGTTACTCTAGCTCATCAGGCCCTGGGTTACAGAAATCCACTACATCCTGACTATAACCTTATGGTTTCCAAGCAAGAACAACAAAAGCCTCATCTCTGATTCCCTCCTTTTGATAAAAAGGTTTAAAACTAGCTGCCTTTGCTGAGGTGCAGGCCACTACAAATCCAGGAAGCCTCCATGCATGACAAAAACATAGGGGCATTCCTTTTTTTTTTTTTTTTTTTTTTTCTTTTTTGAGATGGAGTCTCACCCAGGCTGGAGTGCAGTGGCATGAGCTGAGATCATGGCCTGCACCTCAGCAAAGGCAGCTAGTTTTAAACCTTTCTATCAAAAAGAGGGAATCAGAGATGAGGTTTTTGTTGTTCTTGCTTGGAAACCATAAGGTTATAGTCAGGATGTAGTGGATTTCTGAACTGGGAGAGATCCTTTTTGGCATTTTTTGAAAATAAACCTCAATTTTTATACTCAGGACATACTGCATTTTGGCAATATATCTCAAGTTAACATACGTATTTACTCCAAAACTTAAGCTTTTTTTTTTTTTTTTTGAGACGGAGTTTCACTCTTGTTACCCAGGTTGGAGTGCAATGGCGCGATCTCGGCTCACCACAACCTCCGCCTCCTGGGTTCAGGCAATTCTCCTGCCTCAGCCTCCCGAGTAGCTGGGATTACAGGCACGCACCACCATGCCCAGCTAATTTTTAGTATTTTTAGTAGAGACGGGGTTTCACCACGTTGACCGGGATGGTCTCAATCTCTTGACCTCGTGATCCACCCGCCTGGGCCTCCCAAAGTGCTGGGAGTACAGGCTTGAGCCACCGCGCCCGGCCCAAAACTTAAGCTATTTAACTAATTATGGCCTTTTCCACTGCAACCTCCGTCTCCCGTGTTTAAGTGATTCTCCTGCTTCAGCCTCCACAGTAGCTGGGATTATAGGCATGTGCCACACGCCCAGCTAATTTTGTATTTTTAGTAGAGACCGGGTTTCTCCATGCTGGTCAGGCTGGTCTCAAACTTCTGACCAGAGGGTTACTTTTAAACATTAATAGATATGAAATCCTGTTTGTAAATTATGCATTGACAAGGGAAGCTCCTGCAGGAGGTTGAGCAGGACTAGAGTTGTGAGTTTTGTTTGGCAGTAGGTCCTGTTTCTTAAGCAGAAGTTGCAGTATTTCACCACCTCCAGTTCTGGGGCCTTCCACACTTAAGGATTTATTTTATTTTATTTTATTTTTTTTGAGACGGAGTCTCGCTTTGTCACCCAGGCTGGAGTGCAATGGTGCAGTCTCAGCTCGCTGCAACCTCTGCTTCCCGAGTTCAAGCGATTCTTCTGCACTGGCCTCACTAGTACCTGGGCTTATAGGCACACACCTCCATGCCTAATATTTTTTTAGTAGAGATGGGTTTTCACCATATTGCCCAGGCTGGTCTTGAACTCCTTACCTCAGGTGATCCACCCGCCTCAGCCTCCCAGAGTCCTGGGATTACAAGCGTGAGCCACTGCGCCAGGCCCTATAAGGATTTTATATTGGAGACAGACTCTCCAAAATATATAGTACTACATCTGAAACAATCACCTTCTACTAGAATTCCTCCATATTATTTCAGAGGCTATTTGTCTCCTCTTGGCTTTTCTTTTGCATTGGGTGCCTCAACTTGGGTGGTGAAGTAAAAAGGGAAGCTGGGATCTGATTTAAAAAAAAAAAGAAAAAAAAGGCTTGAGAAATTACAGCTAAGAACGTCCTTATTGTGAAACTCAACATGATGGTGGCCACAGCATAAGCACCATTCTGGCACTGTCATAACTTAACTGCTTATCTTCCCAACCAGAGGTTGTTGTCCAGCACCTAATGTTTTTTTTTTTGTTTTTTTTTTTTTTTTGAGACGGAGTTTCGCTCGTTACCCAGGCTGGAGTGCAATGGCGCGATCTCGGCTCACTGCAACCTCCGCCTCCTGGGTTCAGGCAATTCTCCTGTCTCAGCCTCCTGAGTAGCTGGGATTACAGGCACACACAACCATGCCCAGCTAATTTTTTGTATTTTTAGTAGAGACGGGGTTTCACCTTGTTGACCAGGATGGTCTCGATCTCTTGACCTCGTGATCCACCCGCCTCGGTCTCCCAAAGTGCCGGGATTACAGGCTTGAGCCACCGCGCCCGGCCTTATGGGTAATGTTTTCAACTGCAGAATGTGAAAGTGTCCCAGGGTTACCTCGCTCTGGCTCAGTCCCACTTACCTATGGCATTCTGAGGGAGTGTCGTCCATGGCTTGCCTATCTATGGGTAGTCTTCTGACTGAGCAGCTTTTCAAAAAGCAGAATCTAGAACTCTGTATAGAGCAATCTCAATTGTATATATATTTTTAATACTTAGAAAAAACTGGGAGAGATCCTTTTTGGCATTTTTTGAAAATAAACCTTAATTTTTATACTCGAGACATACTGCATTTTGACAATATCAAGTTAACATACGTATTTACTCCAGAACTTAAGCTTTTTGACTAATTATGGCCTTTCCCTCTGCAGGATCGCCTGGGACTAAAGGAAATGGACAAAGCAGGGCAGCTAGTGTTTCTAGCTATAGAAGGGGACCATCTTCAGCTGTCTGAAGAATGGTTTTATGCCCACATCATACCATTCCTTGAATGAAACCCATACAGTTCACGATAGAGCTCAGGGAGCCCCTTACTCTTCCAAACCAAGTGGGAGAGTTTCCTTCATGCCCAAGCCTGAGCTCAGATCCAGCTTGCAACTAATCCTTTTATCATCATCTAACACGCCCTACTTGGAAAGATCTAAGATCTGAATCTTATCCTTTGCTGTCTTCTATCACCATATGGTGTTGAATGCAAGTTTAATTACCATGGAGATTGTTTTACAAACTTTTCATGTGGTCAAGCTCAGTTTTAGAAAAACTGAATCTGTTGCAGATCAGTGCCAGAACTGTGCCCAGGCCCAAAGGAGACAACTAATTAAAGCAATGAGATAGATAGATTCTAAGGGCAAACATTTTTCCAAGTCTTGCCGTATTTCAAGCTAAGAGGTACCCAGGCCTGAGGTACTCACATAAATCTTTTTTTTGCTGGTGATGTAACCAGTGCTTGGATGTCTTGCTTGGCTATTTCTGCATAATTTCTTAGGGCTGCCTTCCTCTCTGAGTATGTTGCTCTGTGCTATCATCATTAGACAAATCCCACTGGCCTACAGTCTTGCTTCTGCAGCACCCCTTTGTCTCCTCAGGTAGTGATGAATTAGTTGCTTTGTCACAAAAGGAGGGAAGTAGCACCCCATTAAGTTGCTTAAGAGAGGAAATGTACATCTTGTATAACTTAGATAGGGAGTGAAGAAAATGTAGATATGAAAGTGAAAAGTGAGGCAGCTAGTTCTTCCTATTTCATTCTTGGCCAACCTGCCCTCTCTTAATATGACTAGTGGTCTCGATGCTAGAGTTAAGTTACTGTGTTGCTGGCTTTAGCAGAGAATGGGAGGAACCATATGAAAAAGATCAGGCTTTCTAACTTCCATCCCCAAAACATATTTACCAGCATACTCCAAACGGTTTCTGATGTATTCTGTGAGAAAAGAATTGTTTGCTCAAAAAGCTTGGAAAATACTACACACTCCCTTTCGCCTTCTGAAGATCAACCCATAATCTAAGGACTCTGAGAATTCCTGTTACAGTAAACAAAACTAACTTGATCTACCATTTCCTACACTATTTGAGCATGGAAATCATAGTCCCCACTCTGTGAAAACGTAACGCTTTTTGGAAGACATTTCTGTAGAATGCCAGTTTGGAGAAATGATGAGCTAAGCCTTGATGAAAGAACCGCGTTGGTGCTGATAAGTTTACCCATTATGGTTTTCTTTTCTCTCTCTCGGGCCTTATTCTTCAACTAAAAGTTGAGGATTAAGGGCAAGAAGTAGGGAGATGTGAAAATAATTTTATGAGGTTGTCTAAAATAAAGATTAGTTTCTTATCCTTGGTGTTATTTTTCTTTTCAACATTTTTTACATTTCTGTACAGCCAGTATCACAGGTAAACAACTAGGCAAGTTTGGTATTAACTTTATTCTATTTTCTGTATAACTTTAAGTACATAAAGGTTTATTTCCACAGGCCTCAGGAAATGGGTAGAAATCACAGGACAATCTCTCTTCCCACCAAAAAAAGTTGCATATTTTGGTGTTTGTCCTAGAGGGAAAAAAACTGAACTTTACATTAGCAGTGCTGTGCAAGATTCTTACATAAATCAAGACCTAAAACCAGCCTGCAGTGGAGGTTTCAGTCCTCTGTTCAGGTGCTTGGACAGACGCCATAGCTGATGAGCATGACAGGGAAAAGGAGGCAGTGAAGACAGGTGACAGGCACCTAGCAGGGAAGGAGGATTCAGGAATGCCAAACTCCTTGGAATGGTGTGTTTTTCCTTTTAAGTCATCTCTGTAGGAAGGTGCTGGACAGGAATCCCAGAGAAAGAAAGGGTCCAAGGCTCCTTTAACTGCCCTGGATGAAGGGCACTGCCACAGCAGCTAGTACCAGAGACGCTCCTATGTCATAGTGGAGGCAGACCCAGGATGGAATAGAGAATACAAGAAATGCTTATAGGGAACAATTTTGCATGGAATGCTAGATAGCCAAGACTCAGCCTTTGGTCCAGTGCAACCCTTGCCTCACTTGTCAACAGTAAAAAATTAGTTTGGTTAGAAGAACCATCTGGAAACACATCAGCTTCTGCTATCTTCATGCTCATTGTTAGAAAAAGATTAACCATTGAGCAGAACAAATACTAAAAAAAAGAAAAAAAGAAAAAGATTAACCAGTGTGAACATTCTGATCTGTTAATTCCTGGGACTCTTTTCTTTTCAATGGACTGTTTGTTGGTAGAATAACCCCCAAAAGCTCAAAGCTAAAATGCATCATCAGTCCTGGTTGGCAGTTCCTTCAGAATGGACTGGCGGCATGGTTGAGCTGATACGGAAAAGCTGCACCTTCCTGCGGAAGATCAACTGACCTGCTATCCCACCCCAAATCTCAGCCTGAGGTATATTTCAGTGAAGGCAGGTAGCTGTGCTTCTCAAAGCAGAGAAGCAGTTTTAAGAGCAGAAAGGTAGAGAGAATCTAGAAAAGAACCGTCTTGATACAGATTTATCCCATGGTGTGAAGGGAGGGCAAAGAATCCAGTGGCACTTCGTTTATCCAGCAATTTCTGTCACTGTGGTGACCAACTTCTGCCCGTTCCATAGGGTCTTGAACTGCTCAGGAACTGGGAATTCATTCTGCAAATAAGAGACAGCAGGTTTAAATCCAAGCGAAAGAAGAGCTGGGGCTAAATCTCACACATCTCTCCCAATGCTTGCTTTCACTTAACCCCAGCAGCAGGGAAGGATGTAGTGGAAGAAAAGCCACAGAGCCACGCCGTGTTCTAGTGTTCAGTGATCTGGGATCTTGGACAGATTTAGTCTATGGGGTGTAAATGATAGTACATATGGCCTTAGAGCACCAGCGTGACAAGGTGCCGTGGCTCATCCCCATTCTTTTTTGCTACCTCGAGCTCCATTTAGGCAGAAACCACCTTCCCTCTGGAGCCCGGCTACACTGGACTACCTCACTTCTGTGTGCTTTTGGTGTGCATTATTGGGTTTTTACCTATTCAGTGCAGAATGTTCATATAATAGCTTTCTCCAATGCAAAAAATCTTCAGTCCCTTCTGTTTTTAACATCATACTACTAAAGAGATCAAGAAACTTACAAAGTCACCGCCTTCTGTAGGAATGAGGATGTTCATCTCAGAAGATTTGGCACTGACTATTTCACAATCCAGGGAATTCTTGCTCAGGTAAGCATGGCAGCCATCTGTTTTGTTGATGGAAATGGTTGGCACTTTACCCATTACCTGCAGAGTAAACCAAGAGAATTGAGTCCCAGCCATTGGGGTGGGGAGGACAACAGTTAAGTTGCAGGAAAAGCTTTCCTGTTTCACGTGACTCAGCAACTACATGAAAAGCTCACAGGTGCACAAGACACTGGATACTCGGGTAGGGTGGGATGGGTCCTGGAAAGAACTCGCTTGTAGAGCCAACCTCTCTTCTGCCACATCCAAAGCAGCTCAGCTTACAGCCTTTGTAGAATCAGATTCCCACTAAAGCAACATCTGTGGGTCTGCCATGTCTCTTTCAATTAATTCCTCAGGGACTACAGGAAAGAGCCAAATTATCGAGTTACCTGAACTTTGACATCCCTACTGTTGATTATCTCCACAATGCCCACCACGTCATCGAATACCAGGCCAAGTTTCTTACAGTTATCTAGGAGAAGAAAGGGAGCAAGTCAACAGTATAACTTTAAAGGAAAGTTAATATATATATATAAGAATCTTTAAGAATAGGGTAGGTTAAAGTGGTATTAGCCCTCTCGGGTTCTGGGACAGAGCTTTCATGGGATAGTGACAAGGACTCACCTACTGTAATGGAGTTAATTTTGCCCTTGATTTGCAATGTCGTGTTGACACACTTGTAAATGTAAGCCACCTGTTTCAGCTCTGTGTCATCAATCACCAGATTGGAAACATTTTCCTGATTTTCCTATTAAAGAGATATCCCAGGATTCTCATCACAAACCACACACTGAACAACAAAAAAAGCAGGCGTTCCCAAACTTTTTGTTCCTGTAATTAAAGCCAGAACTCTGCCCTCATCTAGCTAAGCTCCATTTAATTCCCTGTTCCTACTCCTTTTCCCCAGGAGGCAGAGGTTGCAGTGAGCAGAGATCACACCACTGCACTCCAGCCTGGGTGACAAAGTCAGACTCTGTCTCAAAAAAATAAAATAAGTAAATAACAATACCTGCCCCAGTCCAGGTATTTCTAACTCACCACTCTCCACTTCTTGCCCTCCAGTTCAAGTATAGCTGGCTCCTTCTTTGTGGCTGGCTTGGGGGACGGGCTGGTTTGGGGTTTAGGTGCAGAGAATGGCTTGGGGCCACTGCGTACTGGACCACTCTGAGCCTTCAAGGCAGGGTTCTTGTGAGTCTTCATGTCATCAGATACGTGTTTCAGGGCTGTAAGAACAACAGCTACCTTATTCCTGTCCTTCATACTAGACCTTTGAGCTGAATAATATCCAGCTTCTGCAATCATCATGTTAAACATCCTTAACAGAAAATTCAAAGCCAAAAGCCAGAGCCTTAAAGGTGTTCTCTTGCAAGCAGTTTTGGAGAAGTTCTTTTATAATGTCTCTTCTCCCCAAGGTTAATTTATATGGTTCCATTAAAAACATGGAATATGTGTGTCTATTGTGGGTGGGGATAAGGATATGTAAATGAACAGAGAAAGATGTAGAAAGACCTATCATATATGGACAAATATGTAGTTTTTAAAGCAATAAGGGAGGAAAAATAAGTGACAGTAAAAATTAAAAAAAAAAAAACCTCTCACTGCCCACAACTAACTCTACTTCCCCCACCCTCCAAGTCAGTTTTGGCATTTGCGGCTCTACAATATTGTTTTCTCTATACATTTGGTTTTGTTGGTTATAATCATATATTAACAATTTTGGTTCAACCAATTGACACTTAAAAACTTTCTCATGTTAACCTGTAGTTTCTAAAAATAGCTTTCTAGGCCAGGCACGGTGGCTCATGCCTATAATTCCCACACACTGGGAGGCCGAGGCAGGTGGATCACCTGAAGTCAGAGGTTTGAGACCAGCCTGGCCAACATGGTGTATTTTTAGTCTCTACTAAAAGTACAAAAAAATTAGCTGGGCCTGGCGGTGTGCGCCTGTAATCCCAGCTACTTAGGAGGCTGAGGCAGGAGAATTGCTTGAACCCAGGAGGCACAGGTTGCAGTGAGCCGAGATCACGCCACTGCACTCCAGCCTGGGTGACCAAGTGAGAATCTGTCTCAAAAAAATAAAAAAGAAAAGCAAAGTAAAAATATATTTCTTTTATGTTTTAAGGGAAAAATAATCTATAATCTCCCACAGCAGCCTGACACACACCTTGCTTTGGACATGGCCTGATCTATGTTAACTGTATAATCAATACCGAATGGCCTTTTTATCTCTACTTTCCTTGTGGCTGTAATTTACATACTAATTTTTTTTCTTAAACATTACATGGTTCACTGTAGAAAAAAATGTAGTGGTGGCGTAACGTTTCATCAAGAGGACATGTGGTAGTTAATTAACCATTTCTCTTACTGTTGGATTTAGGTTACACCATTTTTAACTACTATGAATAACACTGTACAAAACTTCTTTAGATATTTTTGTAGGCAGATTGCTAGAAGTGGGCTGGAGAACTCAGACTTCCACCAGCTGTGTTGAGGGTATCTACTTTCTCTATACCAACATTAGGTCACTCTTACGCAAATTGTCCATGTAATCGGTATGCATTTTCTGAGGAAGTTAACTCCCTAACACAATGCCTTCCCAGAGGCCATGTGGTGCCACAGAAAAAGCTCTGGGAAAAACTGCCAGCTCCGTGCCTTGGCACAAGAGGGTACTCTATATATGCTACCTAATTTTAAGTCACTTTTTCGTGGGGCAGAGGGTTTCCTCCAACTGTGATCACATTTTCAATTTCCATTTAAGCCAGCTTTGCTGTCCCTTAAAGGATCAGGACACACCAAATGAGTTCCCCCACACACAAGCCAGGGTTGTGGTTTGCAGACTAGCTGTTGGGTTGGTGGAGTCTGGCTCACACAATTTGCTGTAATGACCGATTGTGTCAAAGTGCTCACTCACCATGTGTGATGCTCTCCCCCTGATTAATCTGCGCAAACAGCGCTGAGCGGGAAGCAGACTCATCTGAGCCCGAACTGGTAGAAACTGGCGGAGGAGGGGGGCCTGGTGGCGGGGGAGGAGGACCTGATCCAGCAGAGGGTCCAGATGGCAGTCCACTCAGTTCTTTTGCCACAGGCCCCTGGAATGATAAGTGCAGGTAACATCGTCATCCTCTCTTCCCCTCTGTGCCATTCCCAGT